TCCGCACGTAAGCTCAGCATGAACGAATCCATGGTTCGGCGTTGGAGACTACATCCTTGTGAAAAACCGAGAGTGGCGGAGAGATCAGCGGCTTATAGCCCGGTGTGGCTTATTAATATCTACATTTCCAGAATTTAAAAAAAACTTCGTAGATGCGGCTTATACTAAGGTGCACTTTGTAGTCTGGAAAATACAGTATTAACAAACTGTTAAAATATAGCTTTTATTGAATGATGAGTTTTTGTAATGAAATTATATTGAGCATCTTTTCACGTTTATATAACGTGGCATAATAAAAATAATGTATTTATTTTGTGGTCCTCTAAAGCCTTGAGATTTGGCCTGTGGGTCTTGAGTTTGACTTTGCAGTTTGAGACTTTAAAACAAACACACAGTTTGAAGAGCTAATCTCCTATTATTGAAATGATTTTCTTTGTCTGTTGGAATATTATGACTTTTAAATTATCCCATTGATTCTAAATATCACTTAAGCCATCAAAAATAGTACAAACAATCTTCTAATCGGACAAAACCTTAATATAAAAGAATGAATGATTATTTGTCAGCAAAGATGTCGCCGTGTCCAAAAAATCAATGAGAGGAAAAAAACAGAAAAATGCGAGTCATTGATTTTCTGTCACCTACATTTTTATTGCATCTGTCAAGTTTTAAACCATTTGAACATGTCAATACTTCATCTCAAACACCTTCTGGGTATCCCCACCCTCCCCATTCCCCTTGAATCTGTAAAATACTGATGTTTTCTTGCCTTAGTTGAATTCTGCATGCTGGAAGGAATCTCTGAGATGTCCTGTTCACAAAAGCAACTTGCTGTTTTACTGGTGAGCACAAAACACACACAGAGACATGCTGTGGCCGAGATGATTTATTGCCAAGCACATCTAATGGATTGCTTTGGCACTTGAGAAATTATGAAAAGAAATTAATTAGCCTTTAGTGACCCCGCTGTCCATCTGCTGCTGTTCTCTCTCTCTGCTGGCCGAGGCGCTTGGCTGCTTTCTCTGCATGTAATTGTTGTTTAAGGTGGCTGTACTTACCTGTGGAAGATTTATCTCCACTAAATCAAGTGAAAACTCTGACAACGTGCCATTACTCCAACTCAGCGACAATACCCGGCCATCATTACAAACAATGAAGAATTAAATATTTGTTTATGATATTATGCACAGTTAAATCTATCACACTAAATATTGGTCTGTCCGCTGAGCAAACAACTAGCTGTTATGTAAGGGTGGTGCTTTCCATTGCAAAAGCTTTACGATATTTAAGCTTAACTGGTCCTGAAGTTCTTAAAGTTTTATGAAATGAAAACAGAGGTGATGGTATTTGGACCAAGCGGTCCCAGTGAGTCCACGTTTGGACTATCAAACCAAATATTGACAATTTGTATGTTTTTAAACTTAGACCAGTTTTAAAGTCCTGCTTTTACAATTTGATCAAATAGTTCTGTTCTGACTACTAATGTGGAATCTGTGGACGGTGGTGAAAATAAAATCACGAAAATTGTGGACAACCCTGAGCATCCTCTTTATGAGACTGTCATAAAAAAGCAAAGTGTCTTCAGTCAGAGGCTTCTTCAAATTTGCTGTAATGCAGACTGCTACATAACATCCTTCCTTCCCACAGCCAGAACCATCTGCAGTAAGTCTTTGAAGAACCTTAGATTAATATGAGTTACTTTTAGATTGTAACATTTAACTTCCCCTTTGGATAAATAATGTATTTTTGAATTGAATTAGAAAAAAAACAAACTTTTCTGGCAACTCTTTGAAACAGTGATTTTATTTCATTTCTGCGATAGACTTTATGTCTGGGTGAATCAGTCGTCCTCGTCTGCAGCTGCTTCAAAACGCTTTTAATTAGTACTCATAAGACCTTAATTACATTGCCTGTTAATTTTAGAGTTTATTTTACTTTTTTTTTTGAAAGTCTGAATGCTTTTGCAACACATTCACCTCCTGCAGGTACAAGGTTTAGGAGGAAGTTTAGACGGACAGGGCCTTCACTAGTGCAACTCCTCAGCAGTGGAATAAATTACCCCTCCACAGCAGTGAGCTTTATTCACTACCTGCTTTTGAAACTGGTCTTGAAACCCATTTTTATTCCTTTAACATCAGCGAAAATTTGTTTTGTTTGTGTTTAATGTTTTATCATCTTACGTCATATTTATATGTTTTAGTTTCGTATGTTTATGGTGCACATTTACATGCAGCCCTTTGTTTCTTCTGTGGTTCTTTTAAAGTTATTCATAAATAAAATTGGTTATTTTAAACATCTCATTTATTCTCAAAATAGTTGACTTTCAATCTTCTTTTTCACACCGCTTGCATTGAAGATGATTGTGTTGTTATATACGGTGTATTCACTGTTTTCACACCGTTAGTAGACATGTAACATTGGCATCCTGGTTAGATGTATTTTCAAGAGTGCCTGCTACAAAGGGACAAGCAATAAATTGATTTATTACAATAGTGACCTAATCTATGCTGCTGTGAGAGGATCAGGTCACAGGACCTGCTTAATCCCACATGAAACAATCACTGAATTAAACTATAGACGTATTTTGTGCACTTTTGAGTTCTGTTAGTAATAATTTGTAGTTCTGCCAGCAAATCGCTGATTAGAGTATAACAGTCGAACTGAGACCGTTACAAGTAGAACATCACAAAAGAGTTATTACTATTTGACGTTATTTTTTTTTTCCAAAGAGATTATTCACCGAATGACAGTTTGTCCAGCAAACACTCGATCCCAAGATAGAAATCCACAAAGCAAAAGCCCTGAACAGAAACCGAGCAGCGGTTCGGTTCCCCTTCAGTGAGGATTTCGTTGAATGACTGTTATTTTCTGTTTCTCTTCGAGATGAATCCACTCAGAAAGACAAAGGTCAGCCTAGTTGAGAAGCTGAGGATTTGCAGCTTGTCTCAGTGCTCTGTTCCTCTCCCACATGGATTTTTTTTTTTTTTACAGGAACAAGATGTAAAAGGCCAGAAATGCCTTTATAATATTGAATCCTCAAATGGAAGACAAAGATGTTTCATGTAGCTTGACAGAGAGAGCTATAAAACGCAGGGACCATTTCTGTATGAAATGGGACAACAAAAAGGCCGCCTTGAAATTGGACTGAAATTGCACATTACATTTGTAGTAAATGAGCTCTTGTTATAAATTATTTGGAGGTTTTCTGTCCCCTGAGCTCAGCAAACTAGTTGGCATGAGACAGTGGAGAGACAGTGAGAGCAGAGTTTGAGAAAATGTGATAACGATCTGATCCAAAAATGAGTCTGGAGTTCAGATTCACACAATTACACAAATAGGTTGCGAGAGTTTCCCCATTGCTGTTTTCTCATTTCTTTTGAACACTTTTGTGGCTTTAATAATGTAAAGTGCTCTCTTTAGCGCCCTCCATTTATATGACAGAGGTTGAAAAACGAGTGGAGCCACCAGTAGGATCACCCTAAAATTGATCAACGATTGTTTATTCAGTAGGAAAGATATGAGAGAAGTTTTCAAAGATCTATTTCTGTTAATATAAAAATGAGCAACATAAAATAGATCTTTATCATTTATATTTAAATGTACAAAAATAACAACATACAGCGCATTCCTCAGCATTAAATTTAGCTTATTGCTCTTCAACAAACAAAAATGTGAGCTGAATGTAAGTTTAACAGTTTAAGTACTCTAATATTTTCATTTTCATCAATATTTTCTTATATTTGTCAACAAAGGATAATCCAGTGTAGAAAATGGATAGACAAACTATATAACAATAAAACTACTTGAATAGGTTGATATTGCTGAGTAGCCATAAAACTGTGCTGCTTTTCAAGCCACTGGGTTCCATAACACTGTCCGTAATAATCTCCACAAAATCAAACAATGTATAAAATGTCAGACTTTTGTCTGCTCCTTTGTGTTTATCCCGTTTAGAAAGTACCCATGGATGGATGAAACATTTTCCACTTTTGCTGTTTCATTGGACATTTTATTAGTCATATATTCTCACTATATACCATCTTCTGAGTCAGTTATTTGATTTTTCTTCCGATGCAGCACAGCCATGGTCGGACATGTCTCCTAGATCTTATGGGTGTTCAGATGACTTTGGATTCATGACAAACCAGTAGAGAAATCTCTGTCCATTACGGCGGCTTCACTGCATCAGCTTCTGTCTTTGCTGTCAGTCACTTTGCATGCAAAAGACAGATGAATATTCCACATGTTAAGACCTTACAATGATTTTATTAAACACGTATTTAATGGCAGTTTTATAGTTTAATGCAGAGACTGACGTCAGCTTTAAAAAAAGAGGGACATAATGATGAGGACAGAGTCAGTGAGACAGAGAAGCAGACTGAGGGATGGTGAGCCACATGCAGGGATTAATAGAGACTCATTGCAGGGATTTGGGAGGAACGATGAGGTCTGACACACCAGAATGTCCTCTCGCTGGAGCTTAGTGTCACTGTTCTCTCTTCCTCGAGTCCCTTTTTTTTTTCTTTTTTCTTTTTTTTTTACAGGTATGCATCAACCATACCAGTGTTTCTAAGTTAACTGTCAGATCATTCATTTGCCTTTCGTTCTTCCCGTCTCTCTCTTGCTCATGGTTCGTGTGGCTCACCACACCGAGCTTAAACATCGATGTGTTCAGTGGGTGATACGGTTGCAGCGCGATCCAATTTTTATGGATTTTCCACCTGGATGCCGCAGCAGAAAAAGAAAACCCAATGTTTTCTTCCAGCTGGCTGGAGACCATGAGGGCAGTGTTTTTTTTTTGTTGTTTTTTTTCCAGATGAAGAGCCTGCAGCAAAAAAACAAAACAACTCTGTTCACACTCACATTTACCCACTAAATCCTCAACAAATTACAGCCTTTAACTGAAATCAATGACAGCAGCAACAAATGTGCCTCATCAAAAGTTTTGCAAGCATTTTATCCAACCATTTGATCTGACTTTGTCTCTCCCTGTTTTGCAGGTCAGAGTTTGATCTGGACTACGACAGCTACCACGAGGATTACTACGACAGGTACTGTCAGAAAGTCGGGTCTCTCACACACCTCACTGCATGTCTGTGTGTCACAGAAAGCAACGAGATTTTACGCTCTTGATTTCTGTCTGCGTTCAGGCTGTCCATCATTCTGTCTCGGTTCAGGGTTGCCTCTTAGCAGTCACAATCAAACATTAAACATTTGCAAACCTGCAAAAGATACACTTCCCTTTATAGAGACAGCTGCAAATCCACTGTCGGTACAACTCCTGGTTGTGGATTGGATGAAAACACTGTGTGCTTTAATAAAAAAGACATTTGACTGAAAGGGAAAAGACCCAGCTTCACTTGCCTAACAAAACAACAAGGTGGCTCCATGACAGTCAAATGTTTCGAAGGTTTTTAAGAACCGCTTTGTTCAGATGTTTTCATGCTCTACTGCAGGGATGTGTGTTGTTCTTTACAGCACACCCTATTCAGCATTTGGTTTTATATTTTGGTATTTGTAAGGTGTAAACCAATGGGTGGATGCAGAAACATTTATTCCACTTAAACATGCCCATTTACAAGTAGTAGCCATGAGTACTACTTGTATTATATTGAGGAGAGACACCAAAAATGTGGAAGGAGGTTCAATTTCTGGGCTAAAAACAACATGAAATTAGACTTAAGGGTTTAATAACTGTTAAGATAAACATATTCCTATCAGAAGGGCCCTTTCAAAGTCCAGATTTAAATCAGATACCCAATCTTTGTCATGTCTTACATATCAAGGTTTAATGAGGAACAAATTGTCCTGCCAAAGGGATCCCACAAGGCTCTCCTCTTAGATCAATTTGATTTAAACATAAAATGATGCCTTACAGTGTCAAACAGAAAATTTTGTAAAAAAAATACTGGAATTTTCACAAATCAGTATTATCAAATATTATTAAATCTGATCTTTAATTAGTGTTCTTGTTCAATTATGGTTCATTTGTAGTTTAACATTCACATTTTCTATAGTCATTCAAGAATTTTCAAGGGCATTATTACATCCAACACATTTAAATGGTGTAATAATAATTTTTCACATCTTGTTAATGAATAAACAAGGAAGAAAAATAAGTATCAATCTACAAGTGATGATATTCCTCCCAGTTCACAGTTCAGATCTGAACATCAGAGAAAACGGAAGTGGAAAAAATTGAAGTTTTTTTCCTTTTGATTTTCCTTCCGTCTCGCTGCCTGGACAAGTTGACAACCATAAAGACATGTCTCTGTAAAACTGTGTGAGCATTATTGTTGAGTAAGTATCATAACCTCTTGGCTGAGCGGTTAAAATGTTTGCACTGTAAGCTCGGCAGTCAGGTGGACGAGGTGGTGAGTGGCTCCATGTAATCAGTCATCTACTAAAATTGCTCTGGGAGAGCCCTCCATCCCTCAGGCCCAAACTCTAACTGCTGCACTCAGCACATCTGAATAACAGGAAACGGTCACAATGCATAAGGACACTTACACACAAACACACACAGTTAATGTGCATCTCTTTCTATCAGTTCTCTTTTTTTTTTCTAAGTTTGTTCATCAGTGGCTTAAATTAATGTCAATTTTGCTCCACTGTCGTCTTTTTTTCCTCTTTTGTTTTCTTCTTCTTTTGCATTTTCTTTCTGTTTAGGGGGAACACTCGCCACTGATTTTCAATTTGTGTCTAACACAGTGCCTGACTATTTTCTGTGCTACTGGCTAACACTACAGACAGCGCCATGTGAGTGTGTGCATGCATGTGTGTGGGAATGTGTATAGCAAAAAATGAAATATTTATTTTTATATGCATATCCCTCTAGGTTTAAATCTGTGAAGTCTATGCGTGCGTGTGAGCGTGCATGACGCATGCATTTGTGTTTCAGTGTTGTTCACAGCGTCACTTTGTGAGGATGAGAGAAATTAGTCTTTTGGTGGACTGTCCTGTTGTTCAAACACAAAAGTAAAGTGTCTTTCAGCACACTGATAACAGCTCTAGCTGACAAAGCTGCTTTACATGCACGGTCTAATCCACAGAGACAAACACTCTCTCACACACATACGCCCACACACTTTTCTGTAATCCTCACCCGTCTGCTTTCTCTCATTGTCTGAGCTTCCTTTCTCTGGGATGACACTTCAAAGCTGGTGTAACATCACGTTGTGTATCTGCCCCCTGCAAACCGCTCCGAAAGCCTTTAAACTCCAAAAAGTCTTTGGTTGCCGACTCTCCCGGTGCTCCCTGAGAACAAGACGGTGCTCAAATCATGTAAACTCACTCAGTTATGGTGTCCTGATGCACTTCATCCACGTGACGCTCCGTTATGGAGGTGCACGACGACGCAGTGTGTGCATTGGTTTCATTTACAGCTTCTCAGAAAACAACAAAACACAGAAATGAGTTCACAGCTCTGCGACTCAATGTCAACTCAATCAGCGAATCTACTTCACCATCACGATTTAAGTTCTTTTTGGATGCTCACTTCTTCTGATTAATACCCAGATTGACTTTACAAAGTGCTGTGGAAAAAAGTATTTGCACCCTTACCGAATCTTCATTTTTAAATACGTCTGATTTTTAGACGTTTCAAGATAAACTGATTTTGCATCTTTACTGCCCAATACATTTAAAGTCTGAAATGCAGCTGGGCTCCAACTTCGTCACATCATAGAGAGATGAGTAAATGTCCAGGCTTATCCAGGCTAGTGGCTCATAGAGAATTGTCACTATATCATATCGTATTTATACCCAGGAAATGTGGATTAATAATTAAAAGTCCCTAGACATTCTGATCAACTTTAAGAAGTAGAAATTATAAACAAAATGCTGCTGTTGTGTATTTTTCTGCTGGTTTTTACAACATTTTTCCGTGTGAGACTATGTTACTGCAATAAAATATTAATAAGTACTTTACGCTGCTTTTTACTGACTGTCCCTACCAAGGGTGCACTACTGAGTGCAGACGAAGCTCTAAACGGTAAACTTTGATCTTGTGGTTTGTATTTCACCTACTCAGTTGGTCAGTGAGTACTGAGTATTTTCTTTTTATTTATTTATTACTTTAAATCGCCACCATATTTCTCTCTCTACAGAAACAGCTATGCACAAAGTGTCATTTCTGTAACCACTATAGAGGTTAACTGTGATACACCCACTGTCTGCAGCACTACCAGCCTGGCGGGGCGCTATTGATTGGCCCTGACAGAACCAATTACATTCAGTGACAGATAGAGACATGGAGCGGTCCACAGAGAGGAGACCGGCGCCAGAGGAAACACTTTCACGCTCCTCCTCTGGAGACAAAAAAACAAAGGAACGGTGCAAAGATGCTTATTTGTTTTAATAGCTGCCGTCTCATTTTACCTAGTTTATTTCATCTATTTCAATGTCTACAGTCTGCTGCTTTTGGCTGAGTACAATAGAATAAATGTTATCGCATTTGACTTTGTGTTGAATATTGATTAAATAATTGAAGTGTTTAGGCCATTAATGATTTTCTACCTGCTGAACAAATCAGAAGTATTGACCTTTATTACATATAGAGTTGGGCTAAAGGCTGTGGTACCTGTGGTAGATTTAAATGTAATGTAAAATTATTTTTCTGCAATAGGTTTTTTTTTTTTTTTTTTTTGATAAGCAATAAGACAGGAATCTCTAAAAAGAACAGTAAAATAATTCAAAAAGAGCTACGGGTTTTGAAAAAATAAAAACTATTAATTTGTTGTTTTTTTTCCTACAATTTGTTATAGAGTGACATCTAAAACCACATCATTCTCAGTAATCAATGGAAAATCTTTTATGGCAAAACAGGATTAAACCCTATTAATATTTACTGATTAGCTTATTGTATATGTAGTGATGAAATTCAGGTCTTCGAGGTTGGAAGGCCTCCGTGCCATCACCCATATCTTTAGCTCTCGCCACATTTTCTCTGTCAGAACAAAGTCGGGACTTTAGGTGAGCTGTGCCAAAACATTAGGCTCTCTTACAGTCAGAAGAAACTTGTTTGTATTGATAAAAGAACAAGTTTGGTCTTAATTGTGTGTATGTGTGCACAAAACACATACACACAAAAATTTTCTAAAAATAAATCATTTTAAAATTTGAGAACAGTGAAATGAGACACATGGTCTTTTCTCCTGATCTAATGAATGTTTTAGTTCAGAATCTGTTAGATTTTCTCTTGTTTGTGGCTAAATGTGTCGCTTCCACCTCACTTGGATTAGACCGTAACAAAGCTTTACGTGCTACACAGACAAAACTGGGTGCATAGTCGCAATTAAATATAAGTTACTTTGAAAACTGTCTGTCTGCTTAATTTGCAGGGCGTGTGACTATCAGCGTGTGCCAGCCTCCCTCTCTCCTGTCCCTTCAGGACCAAGTGTGGCCAAGAGATCCCGCTCCTCCTCCTACTCCTACTCCAGTGGGCACAGACGCAGTCGAGACAGAACCCACTCTAAGAGCTCAAGAGCCCACTCCACAAGTTCAAACACAGCCAAGTGTGAGTAATATGAATGGGCCGAGGCAGATTCACTTAAGCTTTTCAAAAAACGGTGTGGAAGAAAAATACTACCTTGTAGCTGTAACAGAGGCATTTGATAGAGAAGCCAGCTTTAGGTTCCAACTCTTATAAATTAAGGACCAAAGATGAAGAAAACATGACAAAACTTTGTGCAAACATCATATAAAAATAAACAAAAACAATGAAATGCAAATATGAAATAAAATATGAAAACAACTAATTGTTAAAAAAAAAAGTATTTAAATCTTTGGAGAGGCTTCAGTAAATTTTAGTTCTGACTTAAAGGAGCCAACCGTTTCTGCAGACTTTAAGGAAGTTGGTTGCAGAGATGACTAATACAAATTGTAATAAAGCTGTAATGTAACAAAATGTGAAATGAGTGAAGCGCTGTGAAGGATGAAGGGATTAGTGATGAAGGAGGAAGGGATGAGGGAATATGGTAAAAAAAAAAAATCATACAACTCAAGTATGTGATTGATGCCTGAAAATACCTGAGCAAACTAAAATATTATATAGGTTATATGAGAAAACATACCCTGAAACATAAACATACTGATGTAAAGTGTTAATCAAATACCTGCACTGTTCCTCCTAAAACACATTATCACTGCTGAACCAAGCTGCAGCAATTTTTTAAAAATACTAGCTAGACCTGAACCTTTGCTGAAAGGTACTTCAGGTTTTGTAATTCCCATTGTCACTTACCTCCCTCTCCCTCTTTCCTTCAGTGGGGATGGAAGAGCTGCAGGTGATTAAAAAAGAGCTGACTCTGATAAAGACACAGATCGATGGGCTTCTTGACAGCCTTGACAGGATGGACACACAGAAGAACGACCACAAAGGTGAGACGCTCACTCAGAACGACGGCAGAGGCACACGGGTTTGAGATCAAACGATAGATAATCTATCGGTGCATCAAAATCGCTTTAAAACAGACTCGGTGTGATGCGCCTGCTTTCAGATTCATTCTGGTTTAGTCCTGCCAGGCACCAGTCCAGATCGTAATGACTCAGAATTGGTGCTGCAGTGGCAGAGGAGGATGGAAATGTTATGCATGAATGGAGCCACAACTCTTTCAACTAATCGGCCTGTTATTTCCATCATCCAGTAATGATATGCTTCAAATTGAATACTAGCCACAGTGGATTAGCACAGCTATAGTTTTAAGCAAAATAAGGAGTAAAATAAGGAAACTATGTGAGCGCTACCAAAAATGCTGCGTGGATTTTGCTGCCATCATGTGGATGTTTGTCATTAATTACACCAGCTTGCAAGCGTAACACTGACTGCCTCGCAATAATATTCAGAAACATTTTCAAATTTGCTATGTGACAAATGCAGTTCAAGAATTAGTTTTCGAAATCACCGGGTATGTTAGCTCCACACCTGTGTGGAATTAAATGTTAATTTTTTGGCACATTAAGGAACAATTCACCATGAAGGCCAAGGAACCAAGTTTAAAGCTAAGTTATAAAACAACATCCAGGCTTTGAACATTTTACAGCTACCCTTTAATCCATCCTTCTCAAATGGAGAGAAAACTGCATATATACCAAAGACAAGACTTTTCCCTGTAAACTGAGGAAAGGTTAGCACTAACGTGAGAAGTAGCCAAGAGCCGACCTGGAGGAGCTGCAGAGGTCTACATCAGAGGTGGAGATTTTATTTTTTAGAACGCATCTACTACCTGTGCACACAACAAATGTTTGATTCCTGGAGGAGTGGAGAAAAAAAAAATGCCTATATTAAGAGAAAGCTAAAACAGAAAACATATAAAAAGATGCTCTAGTCATACAAATTTACTTTATATGATGTTTATGATGTATTCCACTCTTACAATGTGCTACAGCAGCATCATGCTGTGGGCGTGGTTTTGTGGAGTGATGGCAGCAAAAATGATCAGACTTTAAAGGAGGACGGATGGTGTTCAATACTGAGCAGGAAGAAAACTTTTTAGAAGCTGCTTAACCCTTGAGGCTGGAGTGGAGGTTCACCTCACAGCAGGACAGCAGTACTGAGCAACCAGAACCGGGTTGAATGGTGAGGATTACAGCTAATTCTTGTGGTAGAATGGTCTAGTCAAAGTTTGTACCGACATCTAATTGCCAATATATGTCACAAGTGATGTGCGCGGACACTCGCCATCCGATATGAATGAGATTGATTTATGCAAAGAAGAATGGGTAAACATTTCAGGTTCTTGACATGAAAAACGTGGAAGAGACAAACCCCAAAAGTCATGGTGTCGTTGCAGTGAAGACGGCAGGATAAAGTGTAGTTGAATACGTTAGCATGCCTCACTTTTCCAGATTTTTAGTTGTTAAACTAAAAATTGTTTATAATTTTCCTTTAGCCTCACAGTTGTACACTTCATTGTGTTGGTGTGTCACATTTGATCTCAATAAAATAAAGTGACATTCTTGGTTTAACATGAAAAGAAATGAATTGGTTCAAGTCGAGATAAATATTTTTGCAAGGCGCTTAATATGCAAATGAAAGGACCAAAATCCTGCGATCCTGTTTGAAAACGGACTTTAAACTGTAGCTTTAAACAAACTGATAATCTACAGAAACACAAATGACACACAGTGTCCCTGTGGAGCAATCCAAGTCTTGTGTGTGTCTTGTGTCTTGTGTGATGCAGCTGAATGACCTTGATGGATTGATAGCTTTCATCATTATATTAATTTACCCCGTCATCATTTGACTTGTCTGTCCGTCACCATGCATCCTCACCTCCCTCCCACTCACTCCACATCTGTCCTTCATCCTGTCACTTCCACTCTGATGGTCTGCCTGTCATCCGCTACGAAAGCCAGCGGGTCGCAGCTCGTTTTCTACACTCCGTTTCACCAAAAAATACTTCATTTCAGTTCCTCATCTCCGAGAGATATAATCTCCTTCATCCTGTTTTCCAGAGTCTCCGCTGAGAGAGGACAGTCCGCTCAGCTTGTCCTATGTGGTGACGGCCAGCAGTCCGGAGCATTCCCTGTCCTCGCTCTCCCCACCCAGCTCCCGCCATCGGATCCACAGGGAGAGTCCCGACATGAAGGTGTGTGACGGTGACCATCATGTGTTGCTTGTATTCTTTGAAAACCCCCCAAACATTGCACCACTAAGGAGCAAGGGGCTTTTTTTTATTTTTTTCTAAAGTAGTCGTTTGGAGTGAGACATTCCAGTTTCTGTCTCACATGAACCAAGTCTGTGAAATCAAGTTACTTCCGCAGAAGAAGAAAAAATGTCCTGAGTCATTCTGAGCTGGCAGCTAATGAAGCTCCTCTTTGTCTTTCCCTCTCACTTCCCCGCCTCCACGTCTGTCTTTTTTCCTGCTTGTCTGTCACAGATGAGCAGCCACAGCTCCGACCCCGAGGAGGAAATATGAGGGACAAACATGAAGAAAACGTAGAAGACGTGGATTAGGTGCCAAACATGGACGAAGAGAAACCTGAACCTTCAAGTTAACGCCCACCAACAGAGGCTCAACGCGGCCTGGACATATCAGATCAGATAGCATATTTATTATTACCGCAGCTGCTTGGTTTTACTGGAAACAAGGACGCGACAACAAAACATGAATAGAATTAACAAGATTATTTCAGATTACCTTGAAAGAAACAGAATGACGCGCTGATTCTATATATAACGTAAATGTAAATTAAAGCTGGAAGCTGAGTAAAGATTAAAGAAAATGAATCGGTTCCGCTGAGGGCACGGATCAATAAGAACAGCAATGCTCCCCATGAATCACACTGATGGAAAATGAATTAGTTCTGGTCACAAGCCTCCCTCTGTATTTTACTTAGGTTTGTCTTTTCTTTACACAATGGAACAATTAACAGCATTAATAGATGCATTGCAGATTTCTTTTCAAAAGTCAAACAACAGTTCAAATTTAAAGGAAAGAATTAAATCAGGCTGGATGGAGAACCACTTCATACAACACAGTAATGAGATCAGCCATCTTACTGTAACTGGCTGAATGTTTAGGATCACTTATCTGTTGGAAGGCTCGTCTACCCCTATAAACGTTTCTCTTTTTTATAGCTCTATCAATTTCTCCATCAAATCTGACTGAAGCAAAGGAAACCCAAAGCATGATGCTGCCCCCACCGTGTTTTACCGTGGGGAAGGTGTGTCCACGTTGATGGACACACCTTCATGTAGTGCATGTAGTGTTGTACACTACATGCACGACACTACATGCAGTGTTAGTGTCATGCATGTAGGCCAATAGCTCACTTTTGGTTTCAACTTCTGAAGACAACAGGGATTTATTTAAGAGTAGCAGAGTGAAGGGGGCTCTATTTCCACTCTCTTCCAATTTTTACTGTTGAAAATCTTTTGAAAACGTCTCATTTTCTTTCCATTTCATAATAATTTTCTACATCGTGTTTTTCACATGAACTCTCAATAAAATTCAGTGAAGTTGGTTGTTGAAACTTGACAAAATGTGGAAAAAGGTCAAAGGTTATGAATGCTTTTGTAAGGAACTGTACTTCCTCCGCAACAGGTGTGCTGGTGAAATATTACAGGTCTCCTCTGCTACATATTTGGCACTTTGAAATGTGTAAAGGCCCCAATCATTGTGTAATATTGTGCATTATTGTATACTTTACTGTAATTGCTTAGCTCTTGGAACTAAATATTAAGTTAGGACTTCTTGTGTGGTACTTTTTTAAGGAAATTAATGATGTTATAAATAATTATCTAATTCCTATGTTGTTACATGTTTTGGTTTGCACTATCAAGATAAGATACTTGTTGTCACTGTAGTGAAAGTATTTTCATATCGAGTACGTATGCAGCACATTGTGGTATGTTTTTATCTTGACAGACCATTACAGAAATGGAAGAAGAATAAAAGACAATGGTTGAAGAAGTGACGTCAAGGTTCAAGTTTGTTTTTCCTTAGATTTGGACACTTTAAACATGAAGGAGAAAAGCAGAGTCCAGATCAAATTGTTACCAAATGACCTCAAATCTTTCTTTTCACTTCAGTCCTCAGATGTGTTTATTAAAGAGCACATCTGTAAAGAGACAGTTCTCGGTAACATTCGCACGTTGCCAGTCCTGATTTATCTCACACGCAATCTCACACGTACTCCACAAACTGTTTGCAAACTGCAGCTTTTTTTTCTTCCTCACGGAGCCATTTCTCTGAACGATGACTCTAAATAACTGCGTGATAATACATCATCCCTGGCACCGAGCACCGCAGAAGCAGATAAAGAACTCGGATACATTTTTTTTTAAAATCTGTATGCATTACAGCTCCATCCTTTTTATCAGGGGTTCACAGCATCCTACTGATTTGCTGCACAGACATAAAATCAGATTTACTTAATAAAAATCCTGGAAAAAAAAAAGCCATCAAGCACAACTGCAGCAGTTCCCCCAGCAGCTGCCTCCGTATAAGCCGAGTACGCCTGAGAGAAATCAATGAGAGGGAGAAGGACAGATCCATATAGCTGACATAATAAGTCTGCATGAAGCAATGTAATGGCCTCCACCAGCTGTGGGTTTATTATGGTCTGTCGTTTCCAACAGTTAACATACACACACCGAGAAAATGAACTTGGAGCTTTAAGATGCTTGTTGAGTTTGCCCAAAGACCACGGTCTTCAGCAACACACGCCTTTTTCAGCAAGGTTTTCTTCTCTTGCACAGATCCTCAGCCATCTAACCACAAAGGTCAACTCACAGTCACATGTTTGCATGTTTGTGGACCGTGGGAGGAAAATTACATAGGAGAAAATTAACCTTTCACACCGAGGTAATTGCCTGTATGCAATATAGATAACATTAAAAATAAAGAATTGCTCCGTTGTATTATTTTGCACGAATTCTTAACTCTCCCACCAATAAACTCCTCATACAAGTTCAGAGAGCTGAACTAAAATGTGTATCCGAAGGAAACGTTTGCACAACAGGCCTTCTGTTGACAGTTCCTGTGTGCAGAGTAGGACAGTGTGCAAGATCTCTCAGGCTTAGTGTGAGAAAAATCTGATTTTGTTCATTTAACCATAAAATTAAATTACATTTCTCAGCAGAGCTGCTGACCCACATCCGATGTTATTTATAAGTGAACATTCAGGCTGCAGCAACTGAGGAGGCACATTCTGTCTGAAAGCAAGGTGAGCAGAAAGCTTTCAATGAGTTTATATCTTATTTTTCTATAAACAAGACTAATTATTCTTGATTCACTTGATGTTGTATATAAATTGTATTTTTAAACATCTTTTTAAAAGTTCATGTAGAGACTATTTCGACTTTGGAGCCATAAAGCTTTGTGACAGTTGTTTTTAGTGGCACCATGGTGTAAATGCCTCTTTTTGTAATATTTTGATATAAAATTGAATGAATAAATGAGCTTCCCCTTTAGCAATAGATGAAATAACTGGATTTTCTGATTTATTCACAGCTTAAATTGAACCACAAAATTCAGCAAATTAATATTTTCTTTCCATTTTTCCAATTTGAATTGCGTACAAACCAAATTGAAATCAGAACAGAGCCAGCAGCACTATCGGTAATATGAAAGTATTGAATGGATTTCCTTCAGTTCAGCACGTTCCTCTGTCTCTAATTGAAGTATGGGAGTCAAAGTGGGTTTTTGTGAAAACTGAAAATGTGTACAAATTTAAGGTTCTTATATTTAACGTTGTTTAACAAATTCATAATGTGGTTGTTCCAGATTAAAGTAGCTAAACACGTCTTATTTTATGTCGCTGTAGATCACAACCATGTCTGGCTCACCTCTGACCACCCATGTGCTGAACACAGCACTGGGGGTCCCAGGATCAAACGTGACCCTCAGACTTTACCAGCAAGACCCCTCAACCGATGTCTGGCACTTAATAACCACTGGGTAATGTTCTTTGAAAATGGTAAGCTGTGAAAAAAGCATTTGCCTCCTTTGACATATTTATCAGTTTTTACTTTTTAAAGGCTTCAGATTGTCTAAAATCTCAGGAAATCTGTAAAGGGGCAAATGCTTTTCTCACAATATCTCTAAGTTTGATCCCTTTCAAATTCCGAATTATACTAAAACTTTTTTTCTTTCTGAGCTCTTAAAATGTGTACTTCCTCAACAGGACAACGAACGATGATGGGCGATGTCCAGGACTGATCACACAGCAGCAGTTTAAATCTGGTGTGTACAAACTGCATTTTGAGACTGGTCAGTACTGGGCCAGGATGGGACAGACCTCCTTCTATCCCTACGTTGAGGTAAGAAAAGGCCAACCGTGATTTTTTTTTTTCATTCTAAGCTGCATTGCTGAATTATTTACATTGTTGTTGGTGACTTAGATTTTTAATTATTAAGCAAAAGGCAATCTATGCTCTTGAATAAAAAGCAGCTGCACTTCTTGTCTTGTTTTCACCAGGCATCTAAAAGTCTCCTCCCTAAATATTCTAGAGTAGCATTTCACACTTTACATCTGGATTTTATAAGTAGAACACATCTGAAAAATGGAAAATTATCCACATTAAGTGTAAGACGAATGTCTTGGAGTCACTGATTCAAAACACCCCAGCAACCACAGTGCAATATGTTTAACTATGACAAGAACATTATTATAATAGTATGCTCCTAATTGAAGCAATTTGGATTAGAATTGAAATCTTGTGCAATCAAGAAAAGAAGCTGAAGTACTTTCTATTCAAGTCCTTGTTACATAATTATTACAAGAATGTGAGATTGTTTGTCTTTTCTATTGCTTTCTTTTATTTATTTATTTTCTGCGTTTGTTCTTCAGATTGTTTTCACTATAACTGACCCGGAGCAAAAATATCATGTCCCTCTGCTTGTGAGTCGTTTCTCGTACAGCACCTACAGGGGGAGCTAGAGAGCAACAACAAGGAACCGCCTGAACCTTCCTTCACTTTTATCACTGGCTGACTCTGAACTACAGGGACTGCTGCATTTTGTAACTGAAATAACTAATACTGTTTTCAAAATGGGGCCTAAATAACTCAAGCGTCTCCATGAAAATGTGCTGTGAATAAATAACGAGTGAAGTATTTTTTTAAGGAACAATTTTTGTTCTGTCTGTATTGTGCTTTACATTGTACCCTATTGGTATAATATTGACATTAATTTAAAAGCTAAGCCCCATTAAGATGAAGTGGGGCAAGTGATTTTATGAAATGGTCATGTAACCTCAAATGATGTATTCTCATTTATTTTCACTTCTGTTAAAAATAAATTAGTTAGTTAAATAACAATATTGGGTAAATTGGTAAATAAAGAGTTAAGTAAAATACAGCTTTACAAATACATTAGAAATATAAAGCTGTAAAGCTGAAGAGAGTAACAATAAAAAAAAGAAAAGAAGCATAATTGTTTTACAGTAAAATGATCTAAGTTGTTGAAACTGCACTGTATGGAGGGTCCTGCCTTTTAGCAAAGTTAAACATGTAAAAAAAGGGCAAATACTTCCACATTATTTAGAAAGATTGTGTACAAGATGTTGACTGCACCTTTGGATGCGCACTATGAATAATATGAATAAGCTTATGTCCAGCAGGTATTTTTTTAGAAACAGGAAAAGCACGACCCTTCAAGCCAAAGTTTCAAACACCAATCTGTTTTGATCCAAAACCTTCAGGTGTCTGCTAGAAAGTTGAAGATGAAAAGGTATATATTTTTTTCAGCATCACAGTGAGTGCATGCATACATCCACATTAATAACTGCTGAGTTGAAATATATATTTTGGCCAAATCAGTGTCCAGAAATAAAACTTTGAAGTCAGTATTTGTATGTGTTTTCCTTGATTTTCTTTTATTTTTTTTTTAAGTAAATTACATAGAATATTTGCAGGATGTATAGGATGTCTTTTGCAGTTTGGTTCCAGTGGACTGGTTGCCTTTTTGGATGTGATGACATCCTAGCTTAGATACTTTACCTGTCGAGATCCAAATTGTTTTTAGTACAGGTCATATTTTTAATTGTGTACTTACCTTTTAAGATCAGGTAAAGAGCAAAATTTGTTTTTGCTTTGCTGTTTGAGTCCATAATCATGTTTTTTTTTATATATATACATATATTTATAGTTTCTCTGTTCAGTAGAAATGAGCCGCTGGTTTGTGAGCTTCTCTCTGTGTTCCATTGCTTCCCCCTGAATGCTGGATCATTGTTTCTGGTCTTGATTACGCTCCCCGTCAGTGGGTAGGTTGTCGCCTCTGTTTTGAGAGGAACGTGAAGGATGGAAGGATGCCTTCTGTCATGTAATTATTTGTAGGTCTACATTTCTGTCGCCAAAAATGGCAGACAAATTGAGGAAGCAGAAAGCAGCGAAGCAGCAGAAGGCAGAGCTCGGGGTGAGGCAGAACTGGGTGTTGCACTAACGATTTAGCTTAATTATGATATCAATAATATCCAGCCCGTTTTGTCACATGCAACTCGCCGCTTGTAATCCTACAGATGCTTATACTGGATTTCTTAGACTCTGTAAAAAGTAATTCAAATCAAGGTTTGCCATAAGCGAACAGAAAGAACCAAATGCATGCATATTTCAGGTGACTTTTTTTTTTTGTCTTATTTCTTTTCAGGACCCTTCAAATAATCAGCAAGACGAGAAAAAAAGGTGAGGTGTCATATATTTTGGGTCCATTGGCTTTGGCAACAGAGACAATATTCAGAAGTTTGTTTTTTCACTTTTGCAATGCTGTTATTCTAGCAAATCTTCCCATAACAAAAATTAAGTCCATATTATTTAGTTCAGTGGTCCCCAACCTTTTTATTACCACGGACCGGTCAAGACTTGGAAAATTGTGCTGCGGCCCGGGGGGGGGGGGGGTGTCAGAGGGAGTGAACCATCAGATAAGGCTTCTGCATGTTGGTGTTCCCGCTAAGTCCTGAATATACCCAGTTTGGGTTGTCTTGGCCTTTTTATCGCAGCCTGTGGGGTTTTCCCTGACTGGGAACGAGAACACAACCTGTTGAATGTGACATGTAGCCAATCAGAAAGCGCGGTGACGTAAGAACAGAGGGGAATCCCAAACAGCTGACATATCACGCAACTGTGAGTCTGGTGGATATCGGAGATGATATGTGGAAATGTTTATTATTTTATGTAAAGGTCGTTATTATATGTTTATGTTTATTCAGTTAAAAATGTTAACTATGAAAAAACAGTCACCTCCAAATCATAGTGCAGCAAATAGAGCGGCTGCTCCCGTCGTCTTTTATCCACCGCCTTTTCTTTTTGTTACGTCTTTTATCTCTTAAAATGACTCCACAAACTGTCACTATTGAACTACATCGTCATCCGTGTTTGGTTATTCTAAATTCTCGCTATGTTGGGGGTTTTGTGGATTTTCTTCTGGAATCGCGATGTTCGTGACTGGAATCGGTTCGTGTTGCTTCTGCCGTGTGACTGAACACGAACCGATCGAACCTGTTGTACTTTTATCAGCTCTGTGGTCACAGAGGTTTGGAGAATCGGCCAACAATTCTCAAATCTTGCCGTCTAAACCAGACTTAAGACTCACAAGCTCTACTCATCTCATCTCGACCATTGCCCAAACGCTCTGACTCTGGTCGCTATGGTAACTTTTACATATCCCTTCAAAATAAGATACAGATGCGCCACAAAAACAAACATTTTACTTTTGAGAAAATTTTAACTCATGATAATGACTAACGGGAGCCCTGAGCTTGTTTCTCTGCAACGAAACGGTCCCATCTGGGAGTGATGGGAGACAATAACACCCGAAGTGTTGCTTATATCCACAGCCTGCTTTTCTCTACGTGGTGGTGAAGCAGTTTGAAGCTTCATTGCCTCATTAGCAGCCAGTCGCCGCATGTTACTCAGAGCGGCTTGTAATGTTTGACTCACCTACCGGTCCGGGATAAATCCATCCTCCTGTCTCTTCTCTGGGCCTTTTCCGCTTTGCAAAGAAACTTTCCAAAGACATCTGATCCGTTTCTTACTCATTTTGCTGCCTGTGTTGGCGCGCAAGTAACTGAGAGAATCCGGTTAAAGGATTTTCAAAATAAAAGATCCTCCAGACTCAAATAATACATAAAACGGAAATATTTAATTATTTCTCGCGTGGCCCGGTACCAATTGGTCCACGGACCGGTACCGGTCCACGGACCGGGGGTTGGGGACCACTGATTTAGTTTACATTTTTCCAGCAATGGTTTGGTAACACTAATGTAAAATTTAAGGTAAATTCAGGAAAATTGTGTATTTTTATTTCTGATCATACAATAAATACATCCCCAAATTCGTAAAATTCATTCTGGTGTTAGGCAGAAACCTGCAGTGTAGGATACACTGACAGAATATTACTTTTATTTAGAGGTTTTAGACCTTTTTGATATTATTGTTATTATTCTAAGCTTCTGGTCATTCTGAGAGGACTTTTTCAAAATAAATGGGATATTCTGCATACATGATCAAATATTACATATTTATGCATATGTACAGCATGTATATCTTATATATAATGTAAATCTTTGTGTAATTATTATTAAGATTTAGTTTAAGATCCTTTCAGATCACAGCTCTGCACCAGGAACATCTGCATCAGACTCTGCTGAGCAACGTATTGCTCAGACTTAATGGGGGATTATGTGTTTCCTTTGCTCTGAATGCATCGCTGAGTCATGCTGCTTTTGCAGCAATCACCTCATCTCACTTATTTTGCAATTCCACTTTACACATTACAGTTTGTACTGGGGATATATCCTGAGGTGAATCAGGAGTAAAATGTATTTCTGGCTTCAAACTTTCATTGAAACCTCTCAATTGCTTTTGATGCGTAATGAACATCTGTAAATAATGTTCATTACGCATCACAAGCAATGTTCATTTTTAAAAGAAAAACCATTTCTTTTAAAAAATAAATGGTTTTTAAAATCCAATAAAACTCATCTGCTTACAGACTCAGTTTCTCTCATTCCAACCTCTCCCACAGAATAGGTAAGACCAAAGAGCTGTCATGTGACGTCAGGGACCAGATAGTGGATCTGCACAAAGCTGGAATGGGCTACAGGGCCATCAGCAAAAAACTAGGTGTGAAGGTGCCAACTGTTGGTGCAATTATTAGAAAATGGAAGAAGTACAAAATGATCGCCAATCGTCCTCGATCTGGAGCTCCATGCAAGATCTTGCCTGAAGGGATGAGGATGATCATAAGGAAAGTGGTGGATCAGCCCACAACAACACGGGAGGAGCTTGTTAATGACCTGATGGCAGTTGGGACCACAGTCACCAAGCACACTGTTGGTAACACACTACGCCGTCTTGGCTATCAGTTTAAGAAAGGTATTCACCCAACTTTGTTTTGAGCTTAAATCTCAGGAGCGAGTTAAGGTTTATCTTTTGTGTGAAAACTGAAAGTTGTGCCTCCGTTTCATCTTATTTAGCAGACTCTCCCACGAGAGCGGACAATCCGTTCAGCTCAACGTTTGGCGTGTTAGCTAGCAGTCCGGAGAATTCCCTCTCCTCCTTCTTCCCACCCAGTTCCCGCCACTGGATCTACGAAGAGAGCCCTGACAGGAAGGTGCTTGATGATGATGATGATGAGGAGCACATAGTATGTGCATTCTTTCTCCTTTGAAAAATCATTAAAGGTGCATGTGAGAATTTCCTGAGTCATTCTGAACTGGCAGCTAATGAACCTCCTCTTTGTTTTCCTCCTCTCTACCCGTTGGTCACAGATGAGTAGTGACAGTGAGGAAGAAAGCGAGGAAAATATGAAAGATGTGAATCAAATGCCAAACATGGAGGAAGAGAAACATTAACCGTCAAGTAAAAGCCACAGCAGAAGCAGCATACAAGCTCGAGGTCAATGAAGATTCTACCTTGTTTTAGGTCTGGTGTTTTACACACATCAGGTCATAATAGAAAAATGATCTGATCTTCACCAGGTTCTGAAATAATCTAACCTGAAGTGCACAAAAACAGATTCTGCAATGTTTTGTCTATTACACAAAGATGAAGAAAAATCGGTAACACTTTATTTGAAGGGGGGTGAATAAGACTGTCATGACACTTTCATAAACATGTCATAACACATGGTATGAACATGAATAAGCCTTCATGAATATTTATGACTGTTGTCATAAAGCGTCATTCGGTAAATTATGACACTTTTAATACGAAGTCGACATTATTCAAAATGTCTTTGTTATGACAACTTGACATTAACCAGGAAATCATTACTGTTTAAACTTTACCTTTAATAACATAAAGATACCTAATTTTTAAAGTGCAATCATTAATTCTTTTATAACAAATTTATACCCCCTTCAAATAAAGTGTTACCGAAAAATCAAAAGTGTTGTGTAAAAAACTCAGCACATCCTATGATTTAATATAACCAAGTTATTTGTTCTGTATGACTTTATTAATCTCACCTTTTTGTGGAGGAATGTTGGCTGACTTTAAAAATCTTGCTTCACTTCATTATCGATGTTTGATCACGGAGCATTTATTTAAGGTACCACCACAGTATTTCAATCATATTGAGGTCTGGACTTTGAGCCATTGCAGTGGTTTGATTTTTCTCTGTTTCAGTAATAATGTTGTTGATTTGATGTTGTGTTAGGAATGTTTTGTTTCCAGGCCCACTGTGGCCGACCTCTTGGCAATCCATAGTTGTTTAACTTTTTTTTTTTTTTAAATTGCACTGTCATGCACTTTAACAATTAATAAGCCAACTGAGGTCTACAGAGTCTAAAATGAAGGTTTTATATTTCTTTTATGTTTCCTGTTTTTGAAATTTCCGCCTTAAATGTTTTCCACTGAAATTTTTTTTGTACAATATGTGACTTTAGATGATATGGAAATTGCCTTAATTTGGGAAATAGGCAAAAAAATATACATATATATTTATGATGTTAGAGTCATATCCACCTGCTGCTTATTTCCCTCTGAAATCCTGCGGTTTCCATTGGAAGGATTTACTTGCTTCTCTGCTTTGGCTTCAGTTTTGTTTCATGAAAAGTAGTGAAGCTAGTTTTAAATTGTTTTAGAATCCAAAACAACCAATTATTTTATTATGCCCTGATGGACAAAACCCCAACATAAATGAGAATGAAGGAGTGAGAGTTGTTTATCAACAATCAGCTGTT